GGCCGAGCCGGGTGTGACGGGCATGACAGGTTGCTGGCTTTATTTCCGTTTGCGCCATCCTGCTTTTGATACATATAGTATATACAAGTATACATATATGTACATATCTATACAAATACACATAAATGGCCATTCATCAGGGGCAGTTTGCATTTGTATATTTGGAATTGCTTGAGAATTTGCGCAACTGTGTCAGGTGGGCAAGGCCCTTAAGTGCCTGCCGTTGTTTCTGTAGTTGGTTGGTAGCTGTTGGTGTTGTTGTTGTTGTTGTTGTTCGCGTGTCCAAGCCCGCTTTCAATTCATTTTACGTGCTCGCTACTACGTAGACATTGTCACAGTCACAGTCACAGTCAGAGTCAGAGTCAGAGTCGCACTTGGCCGATGTTGATGTTGATTTTGATGTTGCGGCCTCTTATGCTGGCCATGATCTGATTTAAATTCCAAGAAGGTTTCATGAACGCTCGCTGCTCACTGCAACAAAAATAACAACAGCAGCTGACAAACATTGGTAAGCGAGTCCGTCTCTGGTCGAGTTTAGTATTCTTTTTAGTGGGTCTCTATTTTGGGGGAGGGCGTGGTGGAAGCCGACTGCTTGGGTTCGCTTGTCGTGCACGTATTGTTGTTGTCTTTGCTGCTACTGCTGCTGTTGTTGTTGTTGGCATTCATTACGTGTAATAACTGCGGTAATTGTCACGTAGCGATCGTAACAGCTTAAACAACAACAACAGCAACAGCAAGAATAGCTAAGGACACTTCCTCGCTCGCATCATCGCTAAATTATGCCACCCAAACGGCCCATTGCAATTGTTACAAATAGCGGCACGAATCGAGAATTGGGATGGCGAATATACATACTTGTATGTGTGTATGTATGTATGTATGTTCGTACGGGTATGGCGGTGAGTTTGGAAATTGCCACGCGACATGCATTGCATCCAATTCGCAGTCGTTGCTCATCCCTTCAATTCCATTGCATATTATAGTATACCCTTCATCGTCATCATCATCGTCACCCTCGTCATTATCATATAATCAATGATGCATTAAATTGCTTTGAGTCTCGCCGAGTTGCCTCGAATTCGTTTTTCTTTTGCTTTCCAGCCATTTCAATTGCTGTGCTTGCCAACATTTTAATTGCAATAAATGTAATGAAACTGGGTTTCCCTTTTTCCGGTCTCGGGGTCTCGGCGCGTGCGACCACGTTCGAATCGTAGCCTATCAGTCAGCGCTCTGGGGCGCCTCTGCCGAACACGACCATCACTTATCATGCCTTATACTTCATTTATTCTGGTCAAAGTGTAATTGATTTCCCTTGACCAGCGCTCACTCTCATCATCCAAACACGCCCATATACATACATATATACATGTATATATATATACATGCTACATATACATATGTACATATGTAATGGATGATGGCTAGGCGCTGGGCAGATATTCACATGCTCAATGGGCAGGCAGTGTTGCCAAGTCAGCTTATTTCAGGTTAGCTGCTTAAAAAAGAAATGGAAGGCAGCGGATCTGGGACTGGTTTGATAAATATTTTCATGATTGAAGGAAGGGTGTTAATCTTAATCCTTTATACCCTTCACAGTTCGGGTACAGCCTGTACAGAAAACATCAAACATCATCATTGGCCACTGTATTAAACAGACTCATCAATTACGTGGGTAGTTATCTAAACCGAGTTGAAATTTGTTTAAATTACAAAAGTGAATATTTCATTCAAGTTGTATAATAATGGAAAAAACACTTGTAGAGAAGAAAATATTGGCACGAAGTATTGAATGTATAACAACGGAATTATACTACAAAGCTAAGTGATATACATTCGAATACTTACAAAGATATGTATGTTAGTCTATATCAACATGTTTTTTCTTTCTTACTTCTTCTCCACTACACTCGAATATTTAGGAAAACTCATTCATTGTTTTCGATAAGCAGTCTCAAGTTATGGATTAGTCATTTTTTTAATTAGCAGTCTCAAGTTAGGGAATGACCTTCTAAATGAGGACTGTAATACTTAAGTAAAGATCAGTTAGGGAATGAATTCATGAAAACAATTGCCTAAAACTCTTAACTCTCTGTTTTTGTTGAGCAGGCTTTGCGAATAGAGCTGATATAGGGAATAGCGGAAATAAATCAGCAAGCCACCGATCACGGAAATATGTTACAATATCAAATATCTGCTTTAAGTATTAAATGACATTTTACAACAAAATTATAACAATAGCGCATTTTTCAAACTGACAACAAAACACGTATTATTCTATTAGATAAGACTTTGTATGCATTTCAAGAATTCGCCTTGAATGTGCTTATTAAAAATGTCTATAAATGCGCCATGAATGCGGAATAAATATTGCATTTATATAGTTTTGAAATTTTTAAACCGATATCACGGTAATTGGGTAACGAAATCAACTACGCTATTTATGCTTACCGGTAAGTTTCCAAAAAAATAACTGATGTTTAAGGCACATTTTGATGGAATTTAGAATAATAATAAATTCAAACTCCACTTTCAGCATTGATTATTACTGCAATAGGTGTGGATGGTTGTAGTTTTATTCAGTTTTTTATATAAATTTCAAAAAATGCAAACACATTTCAAAAATATTTCCCTTTTGTGTAAAGATGGACGGCAAATGTTCTTTTCCTTACGTGAACAAGGTCGGGAAACCCTGTGATCAGTATTAATTGTTTGGCAGTGCCTATGCCAGCAATATTGCACAATCATACATGTGCCCACCCACTCACAAACACAAACACATGCACAAGTACACTGAAATACACACGGGCACACAAACACACAAGCAGATAGGCGAAGCGTAGAAAAGTCATTTGCTATGTTGTACATCATTATTGTTGTTTATGTGTTCTCCACATTGCCATTGTTTCTGACCAGACGCGACGTTTACACCCACATACACTCCCACACACACACACACACACACACCCCTTAATCGAAGGCAGTGCAGCAATGCGTAGTCTGTGTCCGGTCTACAGTGTCTGCTGTAGGTAGTCGGCCACCTGAGCTTGACAGCTTCATGCCCCAGTTGCTGGCTGCTGTTGCCACAACTTGCTGCCATTATGAGCATGTGACATCGGCAAGTCGGCTAGATTTATGTGTCCTTCATTAGCTGAAATGGGAAAATGGGAAATCAATGCTAGCATGGGATAAGCAGATCGTGGACCGTTTGTCATTTGCATTTATCTGCAGCAAAGCAGAGAAATCGCAGCCTGCCCAGCCTCAAGCCACACCACAAATGGACACATCTGGGTCCTTGGATTACAGTCCATTTAAAGCTAATTTCCAGGCATTCGTTTCATGTGAACTGTATGTATGTACTTCCTTTTGTGAGTGACTGTGTGTGTGTGTGTGTGTGGATCTTCGCGCAGGCATTTTGCATTTCTCTGCTGAGCCCAAAAGTATGCAACACCTTCTTTAAGTGCAATAAATTCCAATTCTGCTCTTTTTCCAGTTGCTTTTTTTTTGTTGGTTTAAGGTATTTATTATTTACATAAGACATTTAAATTTACATATTACATAATTGTAATTGTTATGTTCGTTGAAGTGTACAAGAGCGAAAAAATTACACATAAACCTTTATTCATTAAATATTCATATTCATATATGGAATGTACTTTATGAATTGTTGTTTGCACTGTTACGGTTTGCAAAAAAAAAGTATTTATATATGTATATATATATATTTGTTTCGGCAAAAGCGAGGGCTGAGCAATCAGTTGTGGTAATGTATTTAAAAAAAATGCAACAAGCTCGTATTTATATTTCATGTTCGTATTTTAGCTATTTTTGTTGATTCAACCATATAAACGCAACTAAAAAGAAAAAAGAAATAGTTTGCTGCTTATAATTTACAATTTAATATAAATTTTAAACAGTTTGCTGCTTATAATTTACAATTTAAAATAAATTGTTATTACGTATACGGTAAGTATGTCACAACAAAACTCCAGTATTTCTTATTAATAATGCAAGCGATATCGGAATAAATATTTTAAAAACTATCAACTGTATAAGAAATTAAATGTTGAGTATTAAATTATTATTATATTGTTCATTGAAACCTTTTATTTATGTATTGATTTCTCTCACTCGACAATCAAACTCGTTGCACAACCCTCGGCCAATGTTTGTTTGCATGATTAGGTTAATTTATTTAAACTTTGCTACGCATTTTATGCTGCATCTTTGCGCTGTTCTTATTACTTGATTGCTTGCACATTTATTATATTATAGTATATTATAATTTATGTAAAAAAAAGCACAAAAATAGCTTTAAAATTGCTTTACTTGGCGTCAGATACCGCAGATGCCAGAAAGCCTAACACGCTCTACTGGGCTCGCTAACGATTTACATTTAACAATAAGATGCAAAATTTACATTTAAAATACAATTCAACATCAATTAGGGCGAGGGACTTGGGTCGGGGTATCGGGATTAGGTGAGCACATTTGGCACCCACTTGGACACATCTAGAGAGTAGATTATTATGCATAAGTATAAGTATTAGGTTTTAAGTACACGTAGAATCGTTGACAACCACAGTTTCAGTTTCGTTCGTTCGTGTGCCGCACGACAACGAGACAAAAACAAAGTCGCACGGCACAACAACAACATCACATGTTACGGCCACGCTCGATTATAGCCACGCCAAGCACATCAGCTCCAGTCCGACCGCACTGCACAACACCGTAGCCTTGCATGCCGAAATGCCACGAATTGCGTGTTTGCTTGAAAATGATTAAACTCTTTAAAGTGCTTATTTATGTTTATTTAAATTCATTTCATTGCTCGGATTTATGAAATGGTACCAAAAGCCAAAGAGGTGAGGTGTACGAATGACACAGAAGCTCGACGAGATGTCTAAAAGCTGAGTCGTATGATAGACTAGACGTAAAAAATTGTAACAATTGTAATTAAAATCGTTAAGAGCATCACAAAATATTGTGGCAAATCGGCATGTTCGTAATTCATTTAATTGCTGCACAGTACCATTTACAGGGACTCGGATTCCATTTCGTTGCGACGACTCGCACGTTTGTCACGCGAGCGCTGGCGCCCTCATAGACGCGGACTCTCCAAGATCGTATGGCTTGACATGACCGAATTGGCGAGGGCAATCGAATTGCCAGCCACCGATAGGTTCGTTTCGTTCTTGGAACGTCGCCGACAAAACCGACCGCCATCGCTCAGTCGCATACCCTTAAATGTGTCCACAAAGGCGCGCCTAAAGCTTGCATTCATGAAGCAATAGGTAATCGGATTGCAGCAACTGGAGGAGTAGGCCAAAAGCTGGAGAAAACTAATGGCCGTATAGTCCACATACTCATAGACAGCGGGTCCAATGAACATGGTCATCGTATTGATTACGTATAGTGGGGTCCAGCAGATGAAGAATTCCAGCACGAGCACAAACAGCATTTTCACCACACGCTTCTTGCTCTCCAAGCTCTTGGTCTCATTGGATCTGTCAGAGAGATGGGGGTTGGCGAGAAGAGGGGATGAGCACTCAAAGCACTTAATTGAGGTTCTCCATGATCTCAGACTCACCTGCGTAGAGCAGCATCCGCGTTGATGCGTAGACTGGGAGTCGAAAGCGATTTGCGCCGTTCACTGTCCGTCATATAGAGAGACTGTTGTTGATGCTGTTGGCGTAGGAATCGTTGTGGGGGCTGCGATGAGTTTGGGGCTCGCACACAGCAATCCCCGCCCCCATTGGGGGTCTGACGTAGCGATTTAAATGAGGCGCTTCGTATGCAATACAAATGACGTCGGCCATCACAGGAAGTCAGCAACTTGCGTTTGCTCCCTCCGTGTCCAAAGCTGTCCGCTGCCATTTAAAAAGGGAGAGTGGAAATACGAGAGAGTGTGAGTATTTGCTTACATGTCTAAATCATAAATCACAAAAAAGCAACAATCACTTAAACTTGATTGAATAATGATGATGAATTTTAAATCACATAAAATTGCTTCGCATAATGATAAAAATCGACTAAAAACACTTGTAATAAATAGTATTCTGAAACTAGAGATTGGCAAAAAAATATTATATCTCAATAAATGGACCTAATATAGATCAACCTAGATAAATTTAATTTTATCTAAACCTTACCTTATCTAGTCTAATCTAACCCATGTACATACTCTAATCTGCTTTTCCCGTTTTCTACGCAGAAACCAAATTAAAAATGACTAAAAAGTTCTCCTAATCTCAAAGACTATCTTTGACTTTGATTGAAAAGTATTAAATTATTCAAATTAAATACAAGTAGTTCTCACAGTCTCTCCTATTCTTGTGGCCATAATTTATAATGTAATGTTTTTTTTTTCAATTGTTTTTTATACAGTTTGAGATTTTTTAGATAAGAGACCATTTTTATTTTTAAGCTGCAAGAAATGTTGAAATTATGCTTTTATGCGATGATGGTAGGCTCCGTGATTCGTGGGATGTCTGTTAGATCGTCGAGCTATGCCAGGCCCCAATAATGTAATGTTGAGTATGAAAAGTTTGAAGCGATATTAACAGCTTCATCTATAAGATCATCTTCTCTTTAGATGGCTGATTGAACGCTCATGTAAGGTAAGATTTCATTCTAGAGCAGCTGGACGCGCCTAGGGTTGGACCAATCCCCAAACCTAGATGCCGTAGATCCATGTTCGGACAACGACACTCTAATATGCAACCCTCCTGCATTTATTTATTTATTATTACAATTATTACAATTTTAATGACATCAAGCTTATTATTAGGTTATTTTCATATTATTAATTTAAGTGTTAGCATCAAACATTTTTATTATTCTTTACAATTATGTATATTTATCGCAGGGGTAGTTTCAACTTGTCAGCACTGATTGAATTCAAGCTCTTTGCTCAACAATTTTTGTATTCCAAGCGGTAAGATTTTCTAAATTTATTGAAATCTTAGGTCATTTCTTATAGATATTGGCAAACATTCATATCGAAATCCATGTCCATTGGCAATTAAAAAGTAGTTTCGGATCGTTTACGATCTCCGTGTCATTCAACGTAAATGATTTTCGTGATATTTGAAAATCGGTAGAGAAGATGCTCCAATACTAGTACCAATATGAACGGTAATGCTAAAATGATTATATGATTGGAAGCGCGTGCAGCTGATTGCGTGACTGCTGAGTGCTTGTAATGGACGAGATGCCGAGTAATGGACTTCAGTTGGCTGTAGGCTATAAGTCGTTTAACTTGGCCGGGAGAAGTCAGTGAAACGAGCACTGGTAATGACTGCATTGCTGCTGTTTCTCGTGAGCGTTGCTATTGCGCTGATTGGAGCTGGCATAGGGCGCCACTATAGCTACTGGCGACGTCGTAGTGTAAGCGGTCCCAGACCCGGTTGGCTACTATGTGGCAGCCTGTCGGATTTTGTGCGAGGCCGTCAGTCATATGGCGATATCTACGTACAGCTTTACAAGTGAGTTCATTTCGTCTTCTTTGAGGTACTAGTATATTCGCGAAGATTTTAAATGTGCTTTGTGACGCGAAATCATCATACAAATAAGAGGTATTCTTATATTGGAATTCAGCTTTGACTATGAACCGAAAGAATACAGACGAAAGCATAATCTCTTTCCCCAGAGCTGCTTTTTTTTTAAGGCAATCCCTTCAGAACATTCGTCCTTAACAATTCGACATAAGGACTGGATATATGTACTATATTACCTCAGTGTCAACAACATCATATTAGAGAAGAACGAGGCTCTCAAAAATTATTATTGTGGCAATAAAATAAAAGTAAAACTCTTGAGTAGTACAGAGAATAAAACGGTCTCGTTTTGTATTTAAAAAAATAAACAGTTGTAAACCGAGGGAAAGAACCTTTCATTCAATTATTTCATTTGTGTGTGTCTCAGGTCTTGGCGTACTTGGCGCTACGTGGGCATTTATCGTCTCTTCAATGAGCCCGCCATCCTGGTCAGAGATCAGGAGATGCTGCGCGAGCTGCTCATCGGCCACTTTTCGCACTGTGCTGACAATGCGGTGTGCGTGGACGCCAAGCGGGATGCCATTGTGAGCCATAATCCGTTTATAGCCAGTGGGGAGCATTGGAGGAAGATGCGGAGCGAGCTCATGCCACTCTTCACGCCGCGCCGGTTACGCCAGACGTTGCCACACATTGGCGCTGCTTGTGCACAGTTGCGGGACTATGTGGAGCAGTATTTGCCAGGTGAGCGCTTTGAGGCCAAGGACCTTGCCACACGGTACACGCTTCAGGTGGTGGCCTCGGTGGTCTTTGGTTTGGATGCCAAATGCTTTGAGCCCAGACAGAATGGTGAAATGGAGGGGGAGTGGTTCTCGCTGCTTGGACCGCTATTTCAACCAAACCCCCTGAGTCTGCTGGAGACCATAGCACTGTTGCATTCACCCACCATAGGTCGAATCCTGGGGTATCGGTGAGTAGCTCTCGATTTCCCTATAAAGACCATTGCATTGTTTTTCATTCGCAAAAAAAAAAAAAAACGTTCATTGTTCATTCTTCAAAATGAAAGTCTCCTACTTTTCATTTTCTATCAGCTGAGTAGCCTGCTTGAGGAGAAGCAGAGATACTGCAATTGCATTTGTTTTCTACTCATTCAACCGTCGTTCATTCTCTAGGTACATGCCGCTCAACTTGCAACATTGGTTGAGCAGGATTGTGAAACAGTTGCTGCAGAGCTGCATCGGCCGCCAAATCGATGGCAATGCCAGCTTTATTCAATCACTGGTGGATGCACGACAACGGGCCAACTTGCCAGTGGATGTGAAAACAATAATTGGCCATTGCAGTACTCTGCTGCTGGAAGGCTACGAAACGTCCGCCTCCCTCTTGGCCTTTGCACTTTACGAGCTGGCGCGCCATGAGCCGGCACAGCAGCGTCTGCAGGCAGACATTGATGCCTTGTCGGCTAAAAATGATGGTCAATTACATAGGCCCGAGGCACTTACCTCCCTGGCGTATGCGGAGGCGACGCTGTACGAAACACTGCGCCTACATCCGGCCATGTCCACGCTGCAGAAGAGATGCACAAAGCCGTTCGTGCTGCCGTCACAGAATCCGGAAGGTCGCAGCTTTTTTCAGGAGGTTGCGGGTCCGGAGGCCGAATACACAGAAGCTAATAGAGATACCCAGGAAGTGCATATTCCAGTAGGCATGGTATTCGTCATACCCGTACAGGCTATACACCAGTAAGTACACCTAACACGACCCCTTTAATACGAATTCGGTCTAGCACGATTAAACCTTTGATAGCTTTTCTCTTTGAACGCGCTGGAAACCTCGTTCTTACACAATAGACGTTGAGAACCATTAAAAAAGGAAGGGTATTACTTGAACTCACATTTTTTGTTGCAATATGCAATAAATACTAACTAAATATGAGTGCTTAGATACAAGTTTGTTCGTTCAAAACATACTAATACGAGTATTTGAGGCGATTAGGGTTTCGGTTGCATCGATGTAATCATGCCTTGAATTGTTTATTTCATCTCTAAAAGAGCTTAAGAAGGCAGCAGTGAATGGATATTGGAAATGATAATTATGACCAGCGGTTATTTACAATCGCAAAGCCCTTTATTTTTTTTAAAAAAAAGGATTCAGCAAGAAAATGGCTTTTAGATTATATGCCAATGGGACCAAATGGTTCTTAAATTTTATATTAACCTGCTTCAACCATTTCTTACACTTACAAATATTTTCCATTTATAATAAGATTAATCTGTTAATGATAAATATTCAACCTTGAAGTAAGGTTTTGTTAAATTTGAAAATGTTTAGACTTTTTTTAAACCAGTTCAAATTTAAACAGCAAAACTTTTTATGCATTTGTCAAAATCTGCGAACGTAACCCCATATTTTTTATTGGAGTCCATGTCTCGTTTCACACGAGTTGTATTCTATTATGGAGAACTTGAAGCTGTTTTCATGAAAGGCAAATGCAAAAATGCGAAAATCATGCAGGGGTCACAATTTATTTTACGATTTTCGATGTGCATTATGAAGGCAAGATGGTTGAAAACTGATGGTCTTCTGATATCATTTCAACAAGATGGTGCCAGGAGGAAAAGCCTAAAAGTAAACAGCAGTCGACTGCGTGGGTTTTTCAAGTTGAACCAAGAACCTAAGAAAATGCTCAAAGCACTTCGAAATAGAAAAGTGCGATTCATCAGCATGTTAACTAATCAGCAGAGTTCTGAGCTCAATTAATAGTTCATCTTTTCAATTCCACAGTGATCCCATGATTTACCCGGAACCGCAACTATTTCAACCGGAGCGCTTTCTGTCGCAGGCGCCACTGGGCTGCCGTTTTCTCGGCTTTGGCGAGGGTCCACGCATGTGTCCGGGGATGCGTTTCGGGCTGGCACAGACCCAAGCAGCTTTGGTCACGCTATTGCAGGACTACTCTGTGCGGTTGGCCGAAGGGGAAAGTTCCAGCCCGGTAGAGCATTCGCCGGTCACCTTTCTGACGGCCAGCAAAGAGGGTATTTGGCTGCGACTGGAACCAAGATGAGTGGGTGGATCTACACTTAACCACAGCAGTCAGTCGCATGCAATTGCAAAAGTTGTTCGTCTTGGCTTGGATAGTCAACAACTTTGTTATGCACTTTGTTGGATAAGCTGGGCGAAAAGTTTGTCTTGTATCTATTTATGTATGTATGTACGTATGTATGTATTGTACTTGGTTAGAGAGCAGTTGCTGCATAAGTAAAACTTTGCTAATGTTTTTTTTGAGCCTCTCCATGCGCACTTTAAACTTTACGCCATCACTGGAATTGATAAGCTCCCATCAGTTGGACACACAACTTGTGTCTGGTCACAGCAACCTTTGGCTTTGCTTCACATATTTTCCCCTTTGAATATCGTTCAGAAACTTGAACGAGTGCAGATCTCTGTTATTGATTTATGATGCCAAAATCCCCGAAGAGCTGTGACTGCAGACCCAAGGACCCCCTATGCCTACACCCGCGCTCCATTTTAGTGCATAGGCGGTTCACGTTTTTGTCCAGCGTGTGGTTCAAGGTTATTGTGGTTGCCACTGTTGTGGTTTGGCGTAAGTCGCAACTTGAGAAAATGCACCTATTAAATTCAATTCACACCTCTGCAGTGCTGCTCTGTGCTACACAATTCTACGACAGCCTGACCGAGAATACCCTTCCCAGTGCCAAGTTCAAGCCAAGCTCCAACAGTCTCGTGTCTATAAATCAATCGCAGACGGGTAAGTTGCTTGCTACATATCGCGGCATTCCCTTCGTACTGTGCAGAATATTTTGCTGGATTATAAAAGACCTTAATATGATTGCAATAGAGAAATTTCTTCTTTTCACAAATTGAAAGGGAAACTTCTAAGGTGCTTTACAAAAGAAGTCTAAAATCTATTTTAGCGTGCTTCGATTTATTTCATTTAATCGCGATTTTACCCCATTGCGGATCATATTCTCGCCAGAAACAGAAAAGTTAATGAACGTTAAGCACAATTATAATTCCATGATAATGGTAAAAAGCCGATAACTTGGCTGATCACAGATCCTAACTTATCTCTTCATGTTCTAAACATGCAATCGCATTACATGATAGATTAGGAATAGCTCCAATTTGTTTAAAATTTCAATGCTTCAGTCGGCCATAATACAATGATCATCAGGTGTCAACTTCTATGCCAATGGCATTCAAGCCATACGTCAGCGTGAAAAGTTGCTGGGTCCGAGATCTCAGGTCTTCGACAACGGCTATAGCAGTCAACTGATCGATCTGATTTATCGCACGGTCATGCACAGCAGCAACGATCCTGCCCGCCAGCAGGAGTTCGAGCGGCGAGTGGAGGAGGCACGCCTGGCCATCGAAGTCTCTGCAGCACTAGCGAGGGCCGAGCTCTCAGAACCTTTTCATGTGATCACAGCCTCAAATATGGGACCCATTAATATGCACGGCCACATCGATGCGGATGGTAAGCTATGTGTTCAGCGCAACATACTCGTATGTTGCCTAACCAACTGAGAGCTCTATCTAGATCTGGTGGCTGCGGACGATTACAATTTCGAGCACTTTGACAAGGGCAGCAATCATATCCAAGAGCGTGAACTGATCGTCTCTGGGGCCTCGACTGACCCGCCTAGCCTAAGAGCGACTGTTTCAACGGCTTGTGCTTTCATTTATGGGGAAGAGGCGCCTTTTCTGCTGCTTGGGGAGTATGGACCGCCCTATGTGCTGGAATAAAACTCAACTGAGGATGTTAATATATATTTTAATTAAATATTTTTGCTATGCCACGGAAGCAAGCCAATATCTAGTTTCATTTTTAAAGGATAACAATTTTCCAAAAACAAGCCGACTTCAAACAATTCTAACACAAATTAATATGCGCTAAAAAGTAAACAAATAATTGTGCATTCCTTTACAATTATGTAGGTAGAACTATTGCTATTTTTGGAGCCAGTGTCAGCCAAGGACACTACAATATGCCTAGCAATAATAATATGAGAATAAGAAGAAATATCTTTATAAAAATTAACTTTTATACGAACGACTATTGAACTCATTTGTAAATTAACTTTTATACGACAGTATACTGAGACAATATCCGCGACTTTAAAACGGTTAAAAATACAATTGACAATGGTGAGGGCATAATCATATTTGGCAGTTCAAGTAGGGGAATATCGAATAAGAAGCTATTTAACAAGTTGTAGCGTTTAAAGTCATAAAGCTGACCAGCCAATGAGCTACTCTAACGGATATCTATAATCCATTTCCTCTTAAGATTTAACATAATTCACACCCAAAGCCTTTAATAAATTAAAGCAATTGCCTGAAAGTATTATTTGTGGCTACTGAAATGGTAAAACAGCAATTTAAATATCGACAATACCTTTTATAATAATAATGATGCAGAATTTGTACATTTGTTTTAATTAAAGGTAGTGCGGTTTTCCAATTATATATATAACAGATATTGTTAAGAGAAGGAGAGACTCGCAATCAAAAAGTGATGTTTTATTTCAGACCGTTCTGATTCGGTTTTTGATTATTAAATACAATGACTAATTATAGTAATTGCTATTAATCTATTGTATTGCAGCATTCGATGCGCTAATTATAAAAATTGGTAAATAAGTTACATTTATTTCGATTTGTTTATTAAATCGTTTGTGTGCGTTGCAATAAAATGCATATCAATCGATGGCGTAATTAAACAAATGTGCACATAATATATAAGAGTATGTATATATGTAAAATGCTGCAATAGCTAGCCAATTAAATGTTTAGGCTGAGCTTTTGAACTACATACTTTGACTTTGGATGCCATGAAAAATACCTATGTGTGATGTGTTTCTAATTATATGGCACTTGAATATGCAAATTGCCAGCGAACTGTGAGACGATGTAATAAACCATAACCAGCTAACATCACAGCAGCTGCCAACCGTCAGCTAACCCCACCCCTTCGGTTGTTTCCCCCCACCCTAACTGGACCGCTTTATGGCAATTTATGCAAGGCATAGGAGAAACGAGACATTTTAAGCTATGGCCGTAAATTGCACGTACTTTTTGAAATTTAATGAAATTTATTGTCACATGGCAGTTGCTGGCATCCTTCCTATACAACATATATGCTTGTACGTGGCATGTGAAAATGTGAGCTGTTGCCGCCTTTGACAATCGACCCGCAAAGCACCCAAGGAGCATCTAGGCCCAGGCCCGGGCCTAAGCTCAAGCTCAAACCCAATAGCAAAGCTCTATGTTCGTGCATGTGGCCTGACTTACTTTAGTCTAGATAAGGGATTTTAACGAGCGCTTAAACGCTTGCCTTTTGCATAATTTACAGCAATATTTTGACCCATTCGCCCCCCTTTTGGATAGAGAAAGGGTTGAAGCTGGTAGCACCAACCACCTTGTTATCCTTGGCCTGAACTTAATTTACGTTGCTACATCATAATTCATTTTTGACTGGAACTTAATTGCTTCCATATGTGTGTGTGAAAACACACAAACACACAAACACACACACACACACTCGTAAATAGCCACACTGTGTAGATAGAAATTCACAGTTGATTTTATTAAACGAGAATTTTGAAAATGTTGCACTTTGTTTTGTCATGACGCATGCCATGGATGGAGTTATTGGCTAAGTAAATCACCACAAATAAATGAGATGACCTTCTGCCGTGCTTTTTAAACAAAAGTGATTTCCCAACAAAATATTGTTGTGTTGAAAACTAACTACATAATGCAACATAAACTTTGAATATGCGAACAGGAAATTACATTCTGTTTTAATTACTAAACACCCTAAACATCGCACAAACATACATAAATTGCTCACATGTTTGTCTGATATAATAATACTAATCGAAATTGAAATCAGCATAGCGAAAGGCTGTTGCTACTTTGATTATATTCATTTAATATTTATATATTTAAATGAAAGCTAATGTTTTGTTTCACTTAGCAAGCGAATTATGCACGAGTACAATGAATATATTCTGGATTAGTGGAAAGTCAATTGTCGGTTTAGTTGAAGGATAATTGTTCGCACGTGCGCACATTGTGGGCAGCCCTATAGCTGATGTGTAAAGATAAATTAGGCAGCATTTGGCTTCAAATTATTTGCCGGTCGTACATGCTGTGAAAGCAACAAATTAAAAAAAGCTCTCAGCATTGAATTAAAATTGTATTAAAATGAAATGAAAACCCCTTTTCATGGAATGAGGCGATTAGGTATTTATGGATAAACAGGCAAAATTTAGTCCAAATTGTAACAAACTCCAACCATTCCTTCCTGCTCATGTTATATTTTTTTTTACAGCTGTGTGTGATTTTGATGATATCAGATGCCTCAATTTATTTGCACAGACTCGTACACATAAAAAGCAATTATGTAAATTTAACACATTACATCAAATGAAATGTAACCAATAACATTTTCTGATGTCTCATTAGTCCGCATAGTTACCGGGGACATCGATATGCGTGTGCGTGTATACTCGTACACTCGTTTCTACATTTCTCTCTGTCTATAATGTACCTATATCTGTGTGAACACTTCACATGGCAACTGTCACAAGTTGTATTTTATGTATGTAAGTAATATCGGAAGGTGGGCTTTGTGCTGGGGGCTTCATTATGTCAGCCACCCACTACCGACTAAAACCGACTTCAATGGGAATTAAAACATTTTTTTCCAATTTTTCTTTCAACGTTTCCAGGAGTGATAAATGAAAGGAAACGGCGCAGACTTTGCGACAAATGTAGTGTGGAATTCGAGGGGGATACAAAATGTTATAAACGGAAATCGGTATAAAAAACGAGAAGGAATTGATTTGATGTTGCAATCTTGTGCGCCCTCATTTTTATTTCTATTTTATTTCTTACTCTTCGATAAGTTATGCCACTGATTGCGAAAGTGTGAGTGCGAGTGAGCATGTGAATGTATGTGCGCGCGCGTGTGTGTGTGTGTGTGTGTGTGTGTGTGTCAAGCATCAAATGGTCCAACCATAAGAGCACCGGTAAACTGCCGAAATGAATGAAAATGAAAATCACTTTGACATGACAAAGTTTACACTGCGCTGCCGACAAATCCATCGCCATCAAAGTCCTTGTCTTGGCTGTGAAGCCCACTATGTCACCGTCATTGTCGCCGTCGTCGTCACCGTCACCGGCGCGGTCGCCATCGTCCCGGCCGTCTTCCATATCCACCTGTACTCCATCTTCCATTAAGCGTTTACTTTGCCATCGCACTTGATGCTGTCTACGTGTCCGTGTTGCTAACGCCATTGAAAACGCAATGCATCGAATAATTTGAGCCCCGCACATTTTATCTTAACGAGGACTGCACGTGAAGTTATCTTATTGCGAATATAAATAGTCGTTTTCAGTATGCCACCGCAATTGTGGGAGATACGAATATGTCAGCAATATTTTTAGTTGCAGTTTGAAGCTACGCCGACATACATATGTATGTATGTATGTACATATAATTTGCTTAGCTGCGCCTTTTCGTTAGCACTTTCGCGCGACTGCAAATTGTTTGTTTTCGGCTTGTCTTTTAATAATATAGTTAATTGCTAATCTGGTACAATTGCATAGCAGCAGTAATTTGTTATACCAATTAGGCGCCTTGTTTTACACGTTTTTATAATTAAACAATTAATTATGTACATAATTGTATGTATGCACTGAAAGACAAAAGCCATAATCAAAACAGTAAACGGTTGAAAAAAAATATGTACACATTGCCATTCCAACTGAATTTGAAAAAAAATTTTCATAGATGGCGCAACGAACACTCCGTATATTCATTGAAAATGACAAAAAATGACAGCCGATATGAGGCAGTTAAGCCAAAAGTCTGTTAATTAGTGATGTAAGTCCGAAATGAACATCGATGTTTTACATCGGAAACGAAAATCGGCATAACAACACATGCTAGATCCCGTTAGTTTTAACAATGACAACAATCGTTTGTATAAATATGTAACTTTCGTTTTTTATTTAAATTTAAATCTTTAAGATATTTCCTGGGTTGAACATTATTCAATTTTACGAATACTTTGAAATTTCATTCAGTCTTCTGACTTGATGGTTGCGGCGTGACTCGAACCAGAAAAATTTTATCCAATTCGGTCAATTCTAAGAAAGGTTATTAGCGAAACAAATTCTCGCCAGTACAACCCCCACAAACTGCAGCAACAAGTTCGCTCTTCTTCTTCCTCTTTTTGCTTCTGCTATGGGCGCATCTAATCTAAAATCGATTTTTTTTTATCACTACTGTTAACTTGAATGCACCAAACGTAATTATTTTCATACAAAATCAACTCTTAATTATTCCAAAAGCAAACTTTTGTAAGCAACTGTCTTGCCGATGCAGCTAAGCAAATACTACTATACTCGTATAATTATAAAATAGCTTAGAGTCAAGATATTTTGATATAAAAGAGTACGAGTCAAATTTTAGATTTTTCCTATGGGAATAGCACATACTGAAACAGATATAACCCTCGCAGAAAATATAAATACCCATGTGCGTGTACAAGTATGTATGTATGTCAACATCATATATTACGCATACGTCACGTGGTCTGGAGTGCTGTCTATCTGTCCGTCCCTTAGACTGTGTCGCGCATCGACATTGCATAATTTGCTGCTCTTGTTTTTGCTGATGTCGTTGGCGTTTGCGTTGCTGTTGCTATTACTGTTGTTGTTGCTGTTGTGGCTGATAAATTGACAAAAGGCGACACGGTAGCAAACTCAAACTTAATGCCGTTATGGTAACCAGGAGCAGCAACAGCAGCAGTAGCAGTAGCAGCAGCAGTTTCTCTGCTCAGCCCAGTTCAGCAGCTGCTGAGTGAGTGCCCCACTAATGGCACTTGCGACATCTGAATCGCTACGCACATACATATGTATAGTACATATTCTTGTATATATAGCAGTACATACTTGTATGTAGGTGTGTGTGTTTGTTGCAGCAATTGCGCTGACGCGACATTGAGTGAATTCGTCATGCAAATCATTCGGTGCGTGACAAGCTTTGGCATGTAAATTTTGCGGGCAACCAATTTGTGATGGAGGGATGTGGATGTGACTGACACCTGGTATTTTGTGCTGGCGTGGATAGCTGCGAATGCAACGTGCCGCCATCATGAGATGAGGTTGCATCCATGCCCATATGGCTGACCACACAAAGAGCATGAACATGAATCCAAAGCAGAAACCGCTGGGCTAATTGACGGGATGGTAAGCGTAAATTCGATTGATTAATGCGTAAGCGCAGTGTTTTTTTTTTTTTTTTTAATTAATATTCAACTCGTGGATGACTTTAATATTTCTGTAAAAACACTGATTTTTTGATCACCCTCCGCTATAGTTTCTAGATAAATATACATGAGTCTTTTAAGCTCCGAGCCCTGTTGTTTTGATGCTAGCTGGTTTCACTTTGCAAACGATCCAAGGACTATCTGTTTGTCGCTTTGTCTTCGTATTTATTTTTAAAGACATTATTAGACAAAATATAATAATAATTGCCACAATCCAAAGACGACTTTTAGTTTTATATGCATTTTCTCTCTTAAAATAAACAATGAACATGAATAATAAATTGGCTTACAAATTTATGAGAATATTTACTTTACAAGTATATTATAAAATGAATAGCTTGGAAATATTAAACGGCAATATATTCTTATGACGGCACTAGTTTTTTTCATTTAATTCAAAGTGTATATATGGTATCTAAAGTGTTAAGTGTCGCCTCACTCATTCACAAATATAAATACAACATATAGTATATTTAAAAGCAATAGAAGGACGAATGTACATAACTTTGCAAATTGTATAAAGTATGCCTGGGTCTTAGAAAAGATACGGCGCAGTGTTTAAAGTGCGAATGGCTCTACTTACCATAATAATATTGGGGTGCTGCAAACTGTTGTTGTTGCTGCGAGTGTTGTTGCTGTTGGAAGAGCAACTCCAGCTCTGCAGCGCCATCCATGCCACTGCCACTGCCATCCACTGCACCGCCACAGCTCTGACGCAATTGAAAGCGAAACGATTGATTGACATTGCCATGATAGTTGCTGCCGGTATAGCTTAATTTGGCGACTCTGGCTCCAGCGCCAGCACCACAGCTCTGGCTGCTGCCACTGTTAGGTAGTCCGGCAACTGCGACAAGGCTTCCCGGCCCACTGCTGGCGGCAATGCCACTGCTCCCAAAAATCATGGCGCGCTCATTTCGCATGCTCACGTACAGGGTTCGCGTGATCAGAAAGTACGTAAAGCTGAGGACGAGCAGCGGAAAAACGAGAAGTGCCAGCACCAGGAATATGTTGTACGCCCGCTCGTAGCCTAGCGAACCAGTTGGCCAATGCTCGCGGCACTTACGCAGACCTGCAATCAAGTAGGAAGTAATAAAAGGATATAGAGATCGCACAAAAATAAATAAAAGCTTGCCTTTACATTTATATGCTTAATCATACTCCACACGAATATTCATCGACGAGCATCGTTATGATGGAATACTCTTGCGATTTATTTATTCAGCTGACCCTATCGACTCTTTCTCTAACCGTCCAAGAGTTGTTGCCTCAAAAGAGTAAGGGAAAACAACAATGTCAGATTTTATACACATCAGATACATATATTTTCGTTAAATGTCTACTCGCCAATTGTCGATTGTTCGTAAAGAGGTACGGTCGAGAACCACGGAATTATCCTTTCGAAATATGATTAGACACAATTACAATATTGCTCCATAGTTAATTTTATTGCGCTTAGTTTAAAAACGTCTAGACCCCGACATGTTTTGGAGCTGCTTCTTCTCGAAAATCTCAGAATCAAGCTCATAGATGAGATAGCTGGTGCGTCCGTCCATGTCGGCAGGCGAAAGTTTCTCCAGGTTCATAACCAGACGTTCGTTCATATTCAGGTCGCTGACTAGCTCGACCATCATCTTGTGGGATATACGCAACATGGGAGTTCCCATCTCCTGCCACAGCGAAATCAGATCATGGTTTGCTTTCAGTTCCTCGTCACTGAAGAAGGTTTGATAGTTGATCCGACAGCCTTTATAGCCATTCAGCTCGATGTCTTGGATGGAGTGTCCTTCGACGTGGTAGATGAGAGCACGCGGCTGCTGTTGAGGTCCATGCAAGTCAGAGGTAAGAGCTAATTTAGAGCGCAACAAATGTATCTGATGGGTATCGATCAGCAGCAGCAAATAGAGCAGCTGTCCATCTGGACGGACTGTTTTCAGGAACAGACGGGTCTGCTCAAAGCTGATGGGCACAGCATCGTGAAGCAGACGCAACATCAACTGCACCGAGGTCACTGGACGGAATAGTTCCATCAAATACTGCGACGGAGTGCCATCCGCATTCAATCGGCCAATGCACAAAGTGTCCGCCCACAGCTGCAGGGCTACGCCATCACCCAGAATATCGCCCAGCTGCTGGAGGCAACTGTTGCAATGCACATGCATTCGATTCTGCGTCACACAGCCTTCGAACAGACGGGGATTGATCACAATATGATTCAGTCCGTAGAAGATCTCATTTTCGCTTGGAATCAGCGGAGTCTTGTTCTTGGGGCAGAAGTAGGAAGCTGCCTCCATGGTGCACACCGGAATAGCGACCGGCCCGTAACGCCGCATTGGAACCAACTCGGTGGCACAGTGGCCACAATGTAGGGCGATCGGAGTGTTCTCATCGAAACGCAGCTGCAACGGATTGATGCCCACCTCCACGGTATTATTGTTTAGAGCCTCGTCATCCACGCACTGGAGACTCAAGCCCAAGAGTGTAGCGTCGCCCTCTGGGGAGCGCAGGTAACGCACGTTGCTCACATTGCAGCTGTCATTCTCAGAGCTCGCAGTGTTGCCAGGATTGACGGAACTGCCGGAACTGCCGCCGGCCTCACCACCGGTCCCACCACCGGGGCTGTTGACACCCTCAGTATTGATCAGGAAGTACTCGCTGAGAAGCAAGCGCTGTTCACAGTTGCGCTCGATCCAACGAATGCCATTAGCGCTCACATTGATGACCTTATTTCGGGACTCCCCCGAGTTGAGCATCAGGACGTTGATCCATTTGTTGCTGCGCATCATCGAGATGACAATATGGTCCAGCGGCATCGTGTACTTTTGGTTGGTCTGATTCGCAAGCTAGTTGTTAATAATTTACTACTTTAGTTTTTCAATTTTGTTAATTTTGAAATCCCCAATACTGAACAAATATTGGACTGGTTTTACTAAACAAATTGAGTGTATTTTCGAAGCCAACTTGGATGAAAAGAAAAAAAGTGTATATGATTCGATTTCAGGAATTTGCAATAATTACCTTATGGTGTGTTAACACTTTATAATCAATCGTTTTCACAATTCACCCAAGTATCGCCAATTGTCCGTAGGATTGCGTTTCTATGCGGAACACCCTCACAATCCAATGCTTTTTTTTTTTTTTTTTTTTTTTTTTTTGGACACAACTATGTTTGTTTCAAACGCAAAATCAAGTTGAAGACTTAAAGTGTGGAACAACGCGGTTATTTTATTCTTCACGTCTGTGCGAATTCACCTAGGGCTAGCCGAAAAGATGTACGTATGCATGTATGTATGTATGTATGTGTTTGTTATGTGATAGTGTGAAAATGTGCTCTATCTACAATCACAATCGAAATTACTAATACGAATGAGCTCATTGGCAATGCTTGCTTCGGCTTGTTATTTGATGCTCTCCTCAGACGAAATACAAGTAGAATGATAAAAAAAAAACTAAAGCTCCTGTTCAAGAGATGAGAGGTTCTCGGAAATGTACATTTTTCTCAAGAAAACCAGCTAAGCAATCCGTTTGCTTACAGAAAATAAACTCTGGAGCAAAAATGCCAACTTGCTGAAAATTTGAACTGTATCGAATACTATGTATTATCGATTAAGAAGGAAACGTATAGAAATTATGAACTGAAAATGTGGAGCTTTAAATCAATGATAATCGATAATATACATACATATGTACTTACTGTACCAGAAAGAAATAATTCCAATTAAAACGTAAATAAATAGGCAGCAAATTAATGAATTGTTTATTTATAATAGGAAAATGTTTGCGATGCCTTTCGTTGTTGATCAACGAGCTTGCTTTCGTACGACTAGTATGTACATACATATGTAAGTACATATGTATGTATAGTAAGCTGATGAAAAAAATGAGCTCGGAGCTGCATTAAATGTAGAAATAGGGAATAAGTAAGGGTCTTTGAGGTTGCAGTCAGATTTATGCAAATAACGACAAACACTGACTAAAAGCGAATTTATTTATTTCACTTATTGCAGACCCTGCTGTCTCTGGATATACATACATACATGTATGTATGTATGTATGTATGTAAGTACATATGTATGCAAGTAAATAATACTATTTGTGCACTTACCTTGTCGACTTGTGGGCATCAGTTGGCTAAAGACCGCAATGGGCGTCATGCACGCCAGACTTCCTAGCCAGATGAACGCAATGATTTTGTTTGCATGGTTGATGGTCTGCCAGGTGCGGGAGCGTAGGGGATGGCAAATAGCATAGTACCGCTCGCAGCTGATGGCCACCAGAGTCCAGGAGGAGACGGCTACAGAGGCGGCTGCAATGGCACATTGAAAGGCGAAAGGCAAATGATAAATTGCGAAGCTTTAGCATTTGATGCCAGAACATTTGTAGTGATGGCAGCTGACCAACCATAGACGCATCCTTTGCTATGGACGAGTGCTAGAGTTGTGTTTTAGAGTCGCCTTTATGCTGACCTTTGGCATAATTAAAATGTTAATGCTTGTCTGAATGGCTGCTAGTTGCTGCTGCTGCCTGCTGGCTGCTGGCTGCCATCGTCTACAAACAATTTCACTTTTCAAAACAAATGAACCTCATTTGGTTTCCTGATGAGCCAACGATGACTGCGTGACTTGACTGCTTGAGCGACGAATTGGCGCTGGGGATGGCCGCGTGACTTTGTTTAAAATAATGTTTTGTCAAAAGAATATAAAACTATTCTCTGCTGAACGACTAGCTTTTGTATAAATAATTATCGGATGGATATTTCTGAAGGTTTTTTTCAATAAAAATAATCAAAATAAATTAAAATTGAACAATATGCATCTTGAAAAGTAAGCAAATTCAATTCAAATTTCAGATTCCCTCCAAAAGTTATTCAATACATCGTATCGAATTGATGAGCACTAAACAGATAAGTAATCAAAACTATTTCGTAGCTAGTAACAAAATGCGCTTCAACCATCTATTTCTGCGTGATTCGCTGGGCGCATCGTTTCGTCACGAGCCCATCTTATCTTGCGATATCACTGGTAGCCCTCGCGCCTAATGTTTCAGACGGGTAGAAAAATGTTGGCAATTAATCACTTAAGAAAATCGCTACAAATGTTTTTGCACATCCGAGAGGGTGCACAAAATTTAAGAAGCACACGTCTGCTAGGATTTTTATGCTCTGTACCCGAAGCGTAAAAAGGGTATGTAAGGTTTGTGCAAAGTAATAGGGGGAAGAAATCATCTCTGATTCCGTAAATCAGCATGGCGGGAAAAATAGATACAGCGATGTCCGTCTAGCCGACAGTCTGTCTGGATGAACGTCTGGAGTTCGGAAATGGTTGAGCCCACATTGGCAATACTTGGTATGAGGACTCTAATTATCGACGGACAATAAGAGTTTCTTTTTTTCCCCCCTCTCCCCGTTGTAGACTTTCGCTAATCCTGTCAACCACGTATTTAATATATAATTGCTATTTTTGTTTTCAAATTCTATACAAATTTGTAAAGTTCAAAGTTATTAGTGAAAGACATTCACTCCATCACCTCTTTCTTTTTTGCTTTCGCATGGTACAGAGTATTTCATTGTCGGCCTTGCTCGACAGTGCTCTTGCTCGAGGACTACCTTTAGGTAGGTCAAGGCACTGGGCGCAGATACCTGTGCTGATGAGCATGCAGCTTGTCAAAGGCATAGTCGGAACTTTTTGTTTGTGTACTCGTACAGCACAACAAATACAAATAGAGAAGGAAAGAATTTCGAAAAAGTGAAAAAAATTAGACAAGCTGCGCTTAGTCCAAAGCAGCGACGACTGTTCTCTCTTCAAAGTCAACAAACAAACAAACAAACACAGCGCAAATACACGCAAGCAGCCAACCAAGTTGCTAACCCATATACCCTCTCCCTTGCTCCCCCCTCCCCACCCAACCCCATACTCCCATACCCATGACTTGCAGCACGCTTAGCCAGAGCTCAAAGGGATGCGCCAATTCGGCGTGGGCGACGTTCACATTACAGTTGGCAAATGCTAAAATATTCATGTCGAGCTTTAATAGACCAGGCCGGCCGACAGTGACAAAATTCGCGGATGTCAGAAGCAGGGCAGGTGTGGCGGTGACGGTGGTTGGCGGTGGTTGGCGGTGGTTGGCGGTGGTTGGCGGACAGTGGCAGCTTCAATTTGGCCATTGGGCTTGAGGGTAAGCAAATGGTTCAACAAGCCGAGCTCATTAACAAAATTAAATTTAGCTCTGTGCGCATTTGGACATGGCTCAATGAGTAGCACGAGCTGCCTGGACAGCTGGACCTTCCAGCTTTGTTTGTTGGGTGCCTCAGCTGCGGGCCGTAACAAAAATGGAAATTATATGCAAATGCTTAAAAATAGCAACATTTCCATCGGTGCGAACGGGTGGCAGAGGAAAAGTTAAGGTACTAATGCAAATAATTAAGACAGAGAATACACGACAAATACTCTGCAATGTGTGGGTGCTTTGCTGGTGCTTTGCTTGCTGAAGCTGGGGGCGAATGATGCTTGGGCTCGATCTGAGGTCTGCTGGGCTGATGGGCTAATGGGCTGATGGGCTTGTTGGCGTGTACATAATTTCATTTTTTTATGACAATAAATGGCAAGTGGCCGGAAGCTCTGCGAAGTTATGTAGTTGGGTCCGCAGCGGTGTCGCTCATTAAGCGTTAGAATATCTGGGTGGTTATGCAAAATACGTTTGAAAATATGCCAAAATTAAACCCCTCATATTTCGGGGTTGGGGATATATTGCAATGCTTCTTTGTGTTTAAATAATTGTACCTGCAGAAAAACAGGCAAATACAGTTTTTTAATAAGGTTCTGATCACGCAATACTATAACTTTTATATTTAAAAGAAATTCACCTCAAAAAACGAATACATTTTAGCAAATATATTTAACGAATATATTAATGCTTTTATAATCTTACAAATCTAAAAATATAAACCCTTACTAATTCTAAATTACAAACAAAAACTTTCATTTGATCGTTTCTATTTTGTTAAAATTCTGGTATATTGTGCCATATTTTAAAAACCACCACATATCAAGAATAGCTTTTGAAACAAAGAAGGTTTTGCGGAATCGACTGATTGTTCCTGCCTCAGCTATAGGCTAAAAATCAGCCATAAATTATGACTAAAGACGGCTAATCAGAATCACCTATATTGATTATATATTGTTCTATAACCAAATCAACATTTCATTGCTTTATATACAGTTTTAAAATTAACGGAATAAATAGATATGCAATGAATTCGTTATTTAAGCTTCTCGTCCGCAATCACCTCGCAACGAGTATAGAATTTAGTACAGCTAATTCTGTTTTTACACGATTGATTGGTTCCAGAAACAACCGTGTAAAAAAAGACATTAATCATATGAAAAAATAGGTGATTGGCTCCTTATCTTTATGTATATGCTATTTTTATTTTCAAAGCGTGTTATATCAAAATCGTGCAAAATATATGTAGCGTGTAAAGGCGTTGCCAACACAAAATGATGATGGAATGTAGTTTTTTTCACTCCATCGCATTTTGCAGTTCTTTTCAGAAGGCAGCATACAACAATTATGTAGTATATATGTATACCTATTCACATTTCACAATCGTTAAAAGAGGCAAATTGTCATACAAAATATCTATAATTGTTTGTGGATTTTTCTTTTAATATTTAAAAATATTTTAGCCCAAAGGTCGTGGGTTTGATTCTCCCCGAACACGAATGTCTTCATTGTTATGTTTTTTGGTTAACATGATTTCGAAATGTAATTGAAATGTTTTTTTGTAACATTATAAAGGCTATGTATGTAAAGAGACTTTGTTTAGATTGGTTAATGAAACGCTAAATAAATAAGACGTCTATTTCATTAGCACATCTAATGCAAAGGCAGCCAGTCACACAATAATTTCTAATGTGCTTTAGTAGACGGCTTGGCAAGGCTTTTGTGGCTAATACAGTCGTTTGGTAATTCTCTGACATTTAGATTGTTATGACTGCCTACTCATGTAGCGAATGCAGACTAGCCGACACTTAACTACCCACACACTTACACACACACACACACTCACATAGACACGCCGTCGCAGTTGCAACATTAATTTCATTATACAAAATGGCCCAAAAAAGCCCTTGGCGCCCATTTGCATTTTAGCTGCAACCCACACGCAAACAAAGAAAACAAGAGAAAAGGAGACAGAGAGAGAGAGAGAGAGAGAAAGAGAGAGAGGGGGGAGGACGCATATGCACTTGACCTTTAAAGTGGCAACCGAATTGCAATTTAGGGTGCACACTTAATGTATTTGTGGGCGTGCCCGCCCCCATTGCGACAATGGGAGCCGCTTGTCTTCTTGATTTGCATTTGAACTCCGTCACAAAATGCCGCTGATGGTGTCAGAATCAAGCAAAAGCGATACCTTTCCCATTGGGTGTATTGCCAGAAAGTTTATTCCATTAACTTTAAATTACGTATTTCATTTGATAAATGCGTGCAAACTTTTCGTTTGACATTCTGGGCTCGCACTCGACTTCGGAGAACTGTTAAGCAGATTTTCAGCAAAACTCATGCATAAAATATAGTATACGAGTATATATGTATAAACATATAAGTATATGCTAAAAACACATAAAAAAAACAGCCATACAAAAGCACACACACAGACACACACACATGTGGAAAAGTCGTTTTTACACACTCACACATTTGGCTTATGGACAGAGAGTATTTTGTACCTTGTCAAGTTATTTAGCTCCCCAAAAGTTGGTCATGTGTGTATATTTTTAACAAGATATTCTGTGCCCTATGCTTTTCAACAGTTAATTGCTTTACCCGGCTGTAAGCGTGGTCGCCGGAGTGGACGGGGGTGTTCAAAAACGCGTGTGTGCTGCTCCATGCAATAATGGAATGGAATTTATTGGCTCTTGCAAAGCACCGTGCAACAAAATGGCAACAAAGTCAATTTCTGAGTAGAAATATGTTTCCTTTTTAAAACAAAAATAAATATACATTTTATAATAAACTAAATTACTACTTTTGTACTATTTTATTTTAATAAAGGTGTCTTTAATGTATCATTAGCGCGTTGGAGAAATAGTAATGGAGTAATGGAAATCCATAGGAGTGTCTTAAGATTTTCTAATTTTCTGATTTTCATTTGAGCAATAAGAAAAATGTTTTATTTTCAATTAAAAGTATAAGTAAGTTATCGAATTGTTCAAATAGGTAATGCCAACGTTTGATTTTTTTACAGCACTGCCAGGCCAAAATAGGCACGTGACTCAGCTTTTTACAAGTGATGTCTGTTTTTTT